CCAGAATAAAGAATGCACACAGAACCTCTGCCCAAACCCCGCCCCCTGATTTCACCATAACTCAGCTGTGCAGTCTGCCTCCATGATGAATTTGGTCAATCTGTAAGTACATGCATGTTTTATTCATTTGTTTTGAAAGGCCATTGAAAAGCTAGCAGACCATTTCCTGTGCTTCTTAAGTAAAGGCAGAGGTTCCTATTACAGAATAAAGAATGCACACAGAACCTCTGCCCAAACCCCGCCCCCTGATTTCACCATAACTCAGCTGTGCAGTCTGCCTCCATGATGAATTTGGTCAATCTGTAAGTACATGCATGTTTTATTCATTTGTTTTGAAAGGCCATTGAAAAGCTAGCAGACCATTTCCTGTGCTTCTTAAGTAAAGGCAGAGGTTCCTATTAACCTTGCTCCACTTTGGCATTGCCCTTATAGGAACTTTTCTCCCTGCACATCTCTCCGGGGACTGGCTCTATAATTTGTCTAAGTCAACAGCTACAGACCTAAAGTAGCCATTTTATACCTGTTTGCTGTATCTCTCTCCCCCAAACTGGTAAGGTACCCAACTCCAGTTCTGTTTTTCCCGCTTGTTATAGTTTACATCAGGGCTACGCAACTATGGAAGCCCTGGGGGCCACAATGATACTCACAGCACATGCCGAGATCCGCAACTCAAGTGTGGTTGCATATACATGCAAATATATATGCAAATATATGCAAATACCTTCTTTCACACTGACAGGCATGAATACAAAGATTAAGGCAAGACTATACAACACACAGGCCCCATTTAAGTCAGTTCTGATATTAATAAAATGCAATATTTACCTGATTTCCACCTATATGACAGCACTTTTAATGAGCAATGACTTCAGGAATTTAATGACTAAAGTGCATATCAACAGAAGACCGTTATATTGACTACTTTTTAGTTTTGGCTCCCACCCATGAGCCACATGTTGAGCCCCAAATCACACCCAAACCCAAACCATATTGTGGGCCTCAAACAAACGGGCCGTTAGCCGCATGCGGCCTGCGGGCCATGTGTTGAGTAGCCCTGATTTACATCATCATAGTGGCTGTGTCTAGACTGGCAAGTTTTTCCACAAAAGCACCTGCTTTTGCGGAAAAACTTGCCAGCTGTCAACACTGGCCGCTTGAATTTCCGCAAGAACACTGACGATCGCATGTAAGAAATCAGTGCTTCTTGAGGAAATACTATGCTGCTCCCATTCGGGCAAAAGGGCCAGTGTAGACAGCTCAGATTTGTTTTGCGCAAAAAAGCCCTGATCTCGAAAATGGCGATCGGGGCTTTTTTGCACAAAAGCGCGTCTAGATTGGCCACGGATGCTTTTCTGCAAAAAGTGCATTTGTGGAAAAGCATCCGAGCCAATCTAGATGCTCTTTTCCACAAATGCTTTTAACGGAAAAACTTTTCCGTTAAAAGGATTTGCGGAAAATCATGCCAGTCTAGACGTAGCCAGTGCCTCCTGATTAGATATCACATTCTGACAATTCTCATGAATATATCCCAGTTTCCAGGTCATCACTTTGGGAATAATGTCCTAGGTATTTTAGTAAGTGTGATAGGGCACACGCCACACTCCTATGGATTCAGCCCCTTGTCCTCTCTCACAGCGGATCAGGGACACTGCAGTCTGGGGCAACACCTGTGCTTTTTGTTCATGAGTAGTTTCCCTCCTCCAGTTTCCAACCATATACAGGCTTTCCAATTACTTGGCCTACCACAGGCCTGGCCAGCAACAGACTAGGAGGCTCCTACCTCCCTCTGAGCGTGGTCTCCCCCTTCCCTTTCTCTTCACTTCTTTCCAGCCTTAGAGCTCCTGCTAATGAGACTACCAAGTTCCCTCTGTTACCAGGCAAACATAGGGCTGTTCACCCAGCCCCAATCTATTCACCTTGATTCAGGCTGGAGTGGCAGGAGCTGATTAAGCCCAGCCTCAATTAGCAAACAAAAGCCGTAAACAGGTCAAATAACAAAGCTTAAGAAACAGTTCAAACAAATGTTTTATTTTATTGACATGGAGCTGATTGGCATTCTGTGATCCTACTGATTTCAGAGTTTCAGCACAGAACTGAAGAGGATACTCTTAGCACTAAGGCCACAGGAAACAGCTGAGACACAAGGCTTTCACTTTTTAACTTAAGAAACTTTCACTCTCTGTGCTGAAACTAAAGTATTTGTTGAATCAAGCCAATAACCCTTCTTTCCTTTCAGCCAATTTCCTGCAATGGAAATTTTTAAATGGCTTCTATTTACAGAAGTTTCTCTTTAACCACTCCTACTTTCTCAATACAGAAATTACTCCCATGTGTAGAAGAATACTGGAATACAGAGTGACTGATCAGCTCCATATTGCTCCCTGCTCGCACTGATATAGTGGAAGGATGATTCAGGCTCTAGCTTGAGCTGTGGCAAAACCAAGTTCAATTGCTGTGTAAGCTTGGGCAAGTCATTAAGGAGTAAGACTAGCAAGGTAGGAATCTACAAAGGCATGCAAACATCTAAATCCTAGACATAAGTGCCTTAATAAAGGTTCAGGCACCTAAGTCCCAGTTTTGTCTCTACTGCATCCACAAAATATCCGCCAAATTCATTTGGCATCTATTTTTTTAGAATAAAAATGCCTTAGGTATCTATGTTTCTGCCTCTGGGCATACACATTGCTGTCTTGCTCTTAGCATCTGGATGCCTAAGTTCCAGAGTGATTCCCAGCCCAGGGACAGACATACATTCAGCCACCTCTGCTATGCACGGGGCCAAATCCAGGAGGCATGCTCAGCAGGCACCTACCAGATGGTGTTCTATTCAAAATCCAGCCAAAGAAAGTGCAAACAGTGGTTGTACTAGGGCCACGCCCTAATCTTGTAATTAAAAGCCCAGTGGTTAGAGTACTCCCCTGGGATGTGGGAGACCAAGGGTTCAGCTCCCTGTTCCTCTTTCCTTCTCTGACAAGTGGGATGGGAGTTTGCGCTAACCACTGGGCTATGAGATATTTTGATGTGGGATTCCCACAGTCTCTCCTGTTGAAGCTGATGTGCTCTGAATAAATAATGAACACAGCCGCATGGTAGGGATGTTAGATATCAACTAATTGAACAGTTGAGCAACCTCATAATTCTTCTTGGTTAGTCAACTATTCTATAGTCCCCAGGGGCGGGGATGGTAGCCAGCGTGCTCCAACCCCACTCCTGGGGAGCCACAACACCCTGTGCTGCTGCTTCTGTATCAGAAGCAGCAGCGTGGAGTGCCAAGCAGGCACTGGTCAACAAGGGGAGCCAATTTAAAAACCAGCTCCCTGCGCAGACCGCCTGCTAAGAGTTCACCATGTGTTCATAGGACAATCTTACTGATTCTTATTTAAACTCAGCTTGTCTTTAGCCATCTTCAAAGGCCTTTAACAGAAGATGAAACCAAGATACATACAGCTCTTAAATGAGCTTCACCACATCAGTAAAAATTGAATGAGAAAGTAAAACACAAAAAAGTGTGTATACTTATACTTGCAAAATATATCTCC